ATCTATAATAATGTGTAGTAGTTGATAAAAGAAAATAATAATCCAATGAAATTCATCGTATCTAAGAAGTCCAAAAATCTTTTTTTGACCCCGCCTCCAAATAACATCACCTCTGATGAAGATGGAAGTAAATATATTGAAACATGTCAGGTATGTCTGAAGAGACATAAAATAACTTGTTGTCTAGCAACAACAGAAAGATTTTAGGACTTAGAAAAAATACAGTAATGTTTTGGTATGTCCTGAGCCAACCCATTCTCACTCCCGAGTCGTCACATATTGACGCTTTTCCAAAGTTCCCTCTGCGTCCAATTTTGACGCGTCAGGTACTCCCCTCGCGTCATTTTTTGATGAGATGGGGCGGAATATGTTGTCATAATTTCTGAAAGTGTAGAAAATGCACAAAAACTACCATTTCAAAGCCTAAAATTACCTTTATTCACTTTAGACATCCTGTCCCTGACCCTAGTACCTAAAATTAACCATTTTTAGAAAATGTAGGAAATTCACGTCAACTACGTGTTCCAAAGCCCAAAATTACCTAATATTCACTGTAGACATCCTATCCCTGACCCCGGTACCTAAACTTAACAATTTATCCTGATCCCTCATGTTAACCTCAGACCCCCGACCCAAAGACCCTTGGTGGCGCAACCCGGAAAAGCCGCTGGTGGCAAGGACTGACGGGAGGGGGTCAACCTACGCGTCAAAATAAGACGCAGAGGGAACTTTGGAAAAGCGTCAATATGTGACGAGTCGGGAGTGAGAATGTGTTACCTGAGCATGTGGTGGAAACAAACAATAAAAGAAACTTTCCATTTTTGAACACACATGAATTTTATATGTATTACTTCGTTAAGCACAAATTTTGCCGGTATAAACATTTCTAACATGTTCATATGATCACACGTGACCTAGCCTGGTTAAAAYCAGCCCCTTGTTTTTCACTTTTCTTCGTACGAGGGTCTGAACTCTCAGCTATAGAGAAGGAATTCTTGCTGGAGGCGTGGCCTCTGCTGAAGTTTAAAACGATTGGATCATTTGGCCATGACGTATGTCGCTGTGAAGGAGGCTAAGCTAAACGGCTAACCGGAAATCGCGTGTGCTGTAAACAACCCTACTGAGAGGAGAGATGTAATGAGCTGAACAAGACGACTGTTAATGAGAGCTGCTGCTTTGTCAGACAAATTTAATTTAATTTGGAAGCCTTTTCAACACAGACTGGCTTCCTTCACTTCCTCCACTGCTGTATGCTAAAATAACTAGCAGACACTGCGCAGAACATCGACGTCATTCAAAACTCCGCCTTCTGTTTGCTGATTGGCCCAGGTAAAATAAACTACAAGCAGACACTGCACAGAAAATTGACGTTCTCTTCTCCGATTGGCCCGGAYGAAAATTCTCCYGAAGAAATCCTTGTCTATGGGAGAAATGACAGACGGAGCAGTGAAGGGAAACTAGAATTGAGCGGAGCTGCGTAGGAAGGCAAGGGCCAGGCTACATGTGGTTTTCTACATTTCATGACGTGAAAAACATGAAACAAGGACCTTTTCTCTGACTTAGATATTTTAAAGGGGCAGTATTATGTGTTTCTCAGGCATATATTTAAATACTTTACCATAATAAAGTATCTATGTCACATTTAGCTGTTATTAAAATGCTGTTTTTATGTTTAAATAGAAAATAAACATCTTCTCATCACGTCCTCTTTAAACGGCTTGAAATTGGCCTCTGTCTCTTTAAGAACCACCTTCCGCTTCTCTCCCATCAATTTCAGTCGGTGGGGGTGGGGCTATTTCGCGCGTGCACTATGATGCAGTTTACTTGGCATCTGAAAATACATTTCCTCAAAGGTATTTTGAATCTGAAAAGAGCTTCACTGAGTGAGAAGTAGTGTTGAGAGCAGCAGACAGTTTGTTTCACTTTCACTCGTTTGCTTTGTTATTGCCGAGAGCCTGCAGGAGTCATGGGTGGGGTGTGGGGGGTGGGGAGGTGTGCTCCGTGATGAGGAAGTTCGGCTTAAAGACACGTCCCAGAGATGTTTCTGGTCCCCACCTGTCATTTTGCTCCTCAGCATGGTTTCCTAAAAACGCTGCAGGATTTCTCAAACATGCATGAATGAGTCAAAGCAAGGCTTTGGGCATGTTTTTTTTTTATGAGAGTATAACATTATAACACGAGATAAAACTCAAAAAAGTTGATTTTACATGATATTGCCCCTTTAAAATGTTACAGTCCTGCAACAAGTCATCCAAATGAATCTAAATCAGGAAAACTGTCAGAATGGAAATGGGTTTAATGAACATCTCATTTTTTTAAAAGATAAACTTTGTCTGACTAATTGTTTTGGTCTGAATGTGTGTGTTATTTATTTGCTTTGCCTGCTCCACAGTGATTCCTTCTGGCAGAGCACGATGTTTCTTTAACCTCCTAAATCCTCAGATTAAATTTAGGCCCTTGTTTGTGATGCTARTGTCTGTGAGACACACCAGAAAACCTCCTCAGAGGTTTCAGAGACCAGACGTACTTTACAATTATTGCAATATCCAAACACAAAAAGAACAAACGCTGCAAACTGGAAATTACCTCCCGCGTGAGAGTCCGTGGACGAAACGAGTGCCTTAGTGGAAACTTGGCTCTGCTCTCCATCTACTTCCAAACAGACAGCTGCTTACACACAGTCTGCACATCATAATAAACACATGAGCCGAACAACGTGTTTTCATGCAGCAAAGATCTAAACTCGTGCACAAGTGGGAAGGAAGCCAACCGGACGACCGCAAACACAGTACAGTAGGTGACGCAAATGATAGTGCTGATAATGAAGAACAAAATGTAAGACTTATTTATATATGTTCACCAGAGATATGCCCTTCCAGTTTGGCAAGTCCATTATGTGATCTATTCTGTTCTTCCATCAGTTGACGTGTTTCAGCCACAACTATCTCAATAACATTTGTCTTTATTTAGCCAGCCTGTGACGTGCACTCGTATTCACAGGTGAAAGATGGCCTCTTCAACCAGACGCTTTTACTGCTGAGACTCTCCTGCAGCTCAGACCTCTCCACCCTGATCCTGCGGTGTTCGTTGATTTGGACTTTATTAAAGGGATCCACGATTAGTTGTAACATTAGACTTTGTTTGATAAACATATATTTTAACTGTAAAATAAAGACTGTAAAAATACTGTAGGCTGTTTAGTTTTGTAAATTTTTAAAAATATATTTTAACACGGATGGAGCCATTTTATTTACACACAAAGCATTCATGACGTTGAAGGTTAATCTTGGACAATATCTGATGATCGACTCTTTTAAATGAAACCAGAGAGCGTTGACAGAGAGGAGAAGG